TTTAGAAGTATTGGCATTTTGACTATAATGATTCTGCATATCCAGGAACAGGGGATATCTTTCTATTTTCTGATATACTCTCAATCTCGTTTTTCAGGGTACTATGGGTCTAATTGTAGGGGTCTCTCAGCTCCTTGATTAGGTTAAATCTCATTTTTCTTGATGCTATTGTAAGGAGCATTGTTTCTTTAATTTCCATCTTGGTGAGTTTGTTACTGTTGTACAGAAACACTATTGAGTTTTGAGTATTGATTTTGCATCTTGCTACACTGTCGATTTGGATACCAGTTCTAGTAGCTTTTGGGTGGAGTTTCTGAGGTCTTCTACGTAGAGGATCATGTCATCAGCAAATAATGATAATTATTAATTATTTAATGATATTTATTACCTTCTTCCATATCCATAGTCATGATTTTTTTTTACTTTGCTTTGTTTTGCTGTTTTGAGACAGTCTCAATATGTAGTTTGGCCTGACCCTGAATTCTCTATGTAATCCAGGCTGGTCTTGAGCTCTCAGTAATCCTCTTGCCTCAGCCTCCTGAGTGCTGGGATGATAGGTATGAGCCACCATGCCCAGCTTCCACATCCATACTCCTTTCATTTCTTTTTCTTGTTCTGTTGCTTTAGCTAATGTTTTGAAAGCTATGTTAGAAATAATCAAACCAGACATCCTTCTCTTATTTCTGTTTTTAGGAGAAAACCTTTCAGAATCTCTCCATTTAGTATGATGTTGGCTGTTGAGTTGTCATGGATAGCATTTATCAGGTTTAAATAAAACACTTCCATTCCTATTTTCTTTAGTGATTTCACTACTAATGGATGTTGGATTTTGTCACATGCTTTTTCTGTGTGTACAGAGATGATCCTGTGATTTTTTTTTCCTTTACTTCTGTCTATGTGGTATGTGACATTTACTGATTTATATATGTTAAATTAACTCTTGATTACATCCTATTTGGTCATTATGTGGTAACTTTATAATGATTCGCTGCATTTTGTTTGCCCATATCTTTTTATGCATTTGTATTCATTAAATAGATTGGCATGTAGTTCTTTTTTTTTTCGGTTGAGTCCTTTTTCTGGTTTTGGAATCAGAATAATGCTTGTCTCTAGGCACTGTGCAAGTACTGTTTCCCTTTTGATTTTATTAAAGAGTTTGAGGAGCACTGGTGCTAGATTCTCTAACATTCTTTTTTTTTTTTTTTTTGGTGGAACCAGGAATTGAACTCAGGCCCTTGCGCTTGCCAGGGAAGCACTTATTCCACTGAGCCATCTCCCTGGCCCCTCTCTAACATTCTTTAACATTCAGCAGTGAATCTTTCAGGCCCTGAGCTTTTCTTAGTTGGTAGTTTCTCAAATTCTTTCTTAAATTTAACTGATGATATTGTATTATTCAGAGTTTTTATAACATCTTGGTTTATTTTTGGTAGTTCATGTTTCTAAGAATTTATCAATTTCCATTTTATTAGAGTGTAGTTTCTCAGAGTAATTACCAATAACCTTCTGGATTGCAGCAGAATCGACTGTGATCTCAACTATTTCTAATTGCATGGGTCTTTTCTTTCTTTATTTTAGTAAAAATTTTATCTAAGAATTTGTCTATTTTGTTTAGTCTTTCAAAGAATCAACTCTTCAATTCTTTGACTCTTCATATTTGTTTTGGTCTCAATTTCAATGATTTTGGCCTTGATCTTCATAATTTTCCTTCTTATAGTAGCTATGGGATTAGACTATTCTTGTTTTTCTAGAACTTAGAGGTGTATCATTAGTTGATTTATTTGGTCTCATTTTATTTTTTCTGATGTGAGAATTCACTGCTATGAATTTCTCTCTTAGGACTGCTTTCATTGTGCCCCATAGGTTCTGATATGTCATACTGGGATTACTATTTAATTATATAACCTGTCTAATTTCCTCTTTAATTTCACCTGTTACCCAGTGAGTATTAAAATTGATATCGCTTAATTTTCAGGCATTTGTATAGTTTACATAGTTTCTGTTGTTATGAATTTCTAGTTTCATTGCTCTAAGAACTGATAGTATGCTTGTGAGAAGTTCAATTCTTTTACCTTTACTTAGCATGATTTATTGGCTAGCATGTGGTTTATTTTGTAGATAGTCCCATAGGATGCTAAGAATATTGCGTGCTCTGCTCTTTGGGTGGCGCATCTATCTATAGACATCTATTAGGTCCATTTGTTTGAAGATTTGGTTCAACTCTGAAATGTCTGTGTTGATTTTTTCTAAATGATCTGTTCATTTGTCACTGTGTGGATATTGAGGGATCCCTTTATAATTGTGTTGGTGTTTATCTGAATTTTTAATGTCCATTAGTGTTTAGTTTATGAAGTTGGGTGTGCTGGTATTTGTTGTGCATATATTTATAATGGTTAAATCTTCCTGTTAAACTGTTTTATTAACTAATATATGATGACTTTCTTTGTTTTTCTGATCAGTTTTAGCTTGAAATCCACTTTGTCTGAAATTCAGAGGTTTTTTGGGTTCCTGTCACATAACATATTGTTTTCTAACTTTCATATTTAATCTGCATCTTTCTGAGTTGCTTCTTATATGTTGTATATTATTGGATTTTATACACTCTTGAAACTAAAAAATTAAGTATTTGACACTTCATATTGTTTATAGTTCTTTAGAGAAACAAATCATTAGGCTGGATAACTATGTTTAAAAAATATTTTTAGGACCTTGGTTCATATGATTATAGAGACTGGAAAGTCCAAAATCTGCATGATTTGTCATCAGGCTGTAGATTCAGGAAAAGACAATGCTGCAGCTCAGTCCAAAGGCTGTGTGTTGGATGTTCCCTTGGATTAAGAAAAGTCAGTCTTCTGCGGTAGTCAGGGATT